GAGGCCTGCTCTGGGGTACGACATATACTGCAGCGGGCAGGACTGGTCCTGGACCGGTGATCGAGGATTCAGTCCACATGGCCCTGCAGCCCTCCGCATCCGTGTGGCCCGGCACCAGACCTCTCCTTCTCTCCGAGCGGGACAGGATGTCTTGCCGAGGCTGGATAGATATTATGCCAATGCGGCACAGGTCGTCACATTGGCTAACAACATGACTTTCATCACGGGGGCCCTGGATAGGGCGCTCTCCTCTGGCCAGGCGCTCAGTGGAGACCTCCTGTCACAGGCGAGGACCACCTCGGCGGCGTTCCTGCGCATGTGCCAGACGCTAGCCGTGGATGGTGGCCAGGACACAGAGGATTCAGTCCGCATGGCCCTGCAGCCCTCCGCATTCGTGTGGCCCGGCACCAGACCTCTCCTTCCCTCCGAGCGAGACAGGATGTCTTGGCGATGCCGGATAGATGTTATGCCATTGCAGCACAGGTCCTCGCATTGACTAACTACATGGCATTTATCACGGGGGCCCTGGATATGTTGCTCTCTTCTGACCAGGCGCTCAGTGGAGACCTCCTGTCACAGGCGAGGACCACCTCGGCGGCGACTCTGCGCATGTGCCAGACGCTAGCTGTGGATGGTGGCCGCTCCATGGCAGCAGCCCAAGTCGGGCCAGGCACCTTTGGCTTGGGCTGGCTAATATCAGGGAGGCGGAGAGGAGGCAGCTGCTGGACCTGCCCACCTCTCAGATGTCCCTCTTCGGCCCGGACATGCAGGCCTGGGTGGCGAGACTGGAGTCTGCAGCTAAAGACTCGGCTAGGCTAGCCCCGCACCTAGCACCGAGGCGCGAGGCCCACCAGCCACTACGGAGCCGGGACAGAGGCAGAGAGCGTTGGCCCGGGAGGCATCCTGACCCGTATCCGCGCTCTGTTATCCATCGTCCCCCCTTGACGAGGCCCCCGGGTCCAGACAGACCCATGGGTGGCTCGCGGGAGCAACGCACCCACCACCGACCTCCCTATGGTAGAGGAGGCCGGGGTGGAAAATTTTTTCCTTCAATAAAGGCCGACCGGCATTTCCATTACCTTTCTGAGTCTGATTTGGGGGTATGTAACATGTCAAATATTGTGAATTCTGATTGTGTTACTTCCCGGGCACATAACGTTGCTTCGCTAGGCCTGCAGCCCCAGAGAGGGGCGTGCAGTGCACTACGAGCTCCGGTTTCTCTGATCCATATATGCCCTCCCAGAGAGAGGTCAGGCGGAGGGATCTGGTGAGTGATATGTGTGTGCTTCGGCCGAACGCGTGTTAGCATCTCTGAGCCACAGGGCTAACACGGGGTTTCCCACTCCAGGGGCTCGCCCCCCCCTCCATGAGGCAAGAGCCAGGGGGGGGCACAGCAGCCGAGTCACGTGTGGTGAGCAGTCCCGTACTTATGACGTCGGGCCTGCAGGACACGTGACCGCCCCCGGCGCTCACGGTGTGACGCAGGGTGCCCCCCCGGCCCTTTCGTCCACCCCCCCGGCCCTTTCGTCCACCCCCCCTCCCTGCTAGGAACACCAGGAGAGGGCGGGGCCGTGACGTCTCGTGTTCCAGCTCCCGTTCCACTCCTCACAGACTTCTACAGCATCTGGAGGGAGCAAAGATGGCTGACATATCTATGGCTGGAGAGAACATTGCGCAGGGGTTGCGCACTGCAATTCTCCCAGAAGCCACCACCATTCCGAGGCGTACGGGCAGCACGCTCTCAGGTACGGGGTCATTAGAGGCACTGCAAGCGGAGGTCTCCTCTCTGCTGAGTCTAGGCGCAGCAGTAGAGGTAGACCCGCAGGAGGCCGCCAGGGGGCTGTACTCCCCTTACTTCTTAGTGCCAAAGAAGTCAGGCGGGGTGCGTCCCATTTTGGATCTGCGCGTGTTGAACGAGTGCATTTCCAAACGGCAGTTTCGGATGCTGCCCACAAAGCAGCTCCTCGAGTGTGTCAGGCAGGGAGATTGGATATCCTCCATAGATCTGACAGATGCGTACTTCCACGTGCCGATAGTACCGGAACACAGGAGGTTCTGCGCTTCGCAGTGGGAGAGAGGAATTACGAGTACTGTCGTTTTCCCCTTGGGCTACGCACTCGTGCCGTGGAGCAGGGGTAAGAATTTAATCTACATAGACGTCGGGTTAATTCTGGCCTCATCCAGGGAAGTGGCCGTGAGTCATACGCACTGGGTCCTGTCCCACATACAGCGCCTGGGCTTTGTGGTTAACAGAGAGAAAATTAACAGTTACCTTTGTAACTTAAGTTCTACGAATAGGTGCACGTGAAATCCCACTAGCGAAGTCCGCTAGGGGACGTAGCACCATGACGTAGAAGCAGGCTGCAACCGGCTCAGCGCATGATCTATCTCGGTCTGCAGCTAGACTCTGTGACATTCCGTGCTGCATGGTCCGTGGACAGACGGATGAACACTACCCGTCTGCCCGGGGAGGTTCTGGCGGGCCCCAGAGTCCCCGCTCGGCGCCTCAGGTCCCTGCTGGGAATGATGGCGGCGGCTCATGCTGTGGTGCGGCTAGGCCTTCTCCACATGAGGAATTTTCAGAGGTGGTTCTCACGCCTCAGGCTTCACCCCTCCCGGGACGGGGGGAGGCTGATCTGGGTTCCCCAAGTGGCAGCATCGAACATCAGGTTCTGGCTCACTCCGGGTCGGAGTGACTCTGGCCGGCGCCGTGTCTCACGTGGAGATGTTCACGGACGCGTCGCTCGAAGGATGGGGCGGGGTCCTCGGCCAGAGTTCTGTAGGAGGCTGCTGGTCGGACTCAGCCCGTCACATCAACCTGCTGGAGATGGAGGCAGTGCACAGGATATTGCTGCACTTTGCTCCTCAGCTGCAGGGGAGACACGTGATGGTGCGCTCAGACAACACCACAGTGGTCTCCTATCTGAACAGGCAGGGGGGCACCAGGTCCCCCGCTCTCCATCGCATGGCAAAGGTGACGCTGCTGTGGGCGGCGCTTCACCTCCTGTCTCTCAGGGCGCGCCACGTCCCGGGGGTCCGGAACGTGGGGGCCGACAGGATGTCCAGGGGGGGGGGCCCACTCCAGGACGAGTGGGGCCTGGCCCCAGGGGTGGCTGCGGAGATCTGGCGGAGGTTCGGCCGTCCAGTGGTCGACCTTTTTTCGGCAGTGCAGGAAACGCACAGTGCCGTCCTGGTTCGCCTTAAGGGCCGCGGACCAGCCGCCTTTAGACGTGGACGCTCTGGCTCATTACCCCTGGCCAGGGGGCCTGTTGTACGCGTTCCCCACCAGTGCGTCTCCTGCCGGTCCTGCTGCGGAGGATCGAACAGGAGAGGAGGTCGGTGATCCTGGTGGCGCCGGACAGTCCGCATGCCCGGTGGTTCCCCTTCCTGAGGGGCATGGCGGTGATGGAGCCCTGGGCCCTCCCGGACGAGCCGGGGGCTCTAGTCCAGGGGGGGAGGAGCCCGGTTTTCACGCCCGTTAATCGGCCGCAGGCTCTGGGTTGGAGGCTGAGAGGCGGAACCTCGTAGACCTGGGTCTTCCCCCTGCGGTGGTGGAGACCACTCAGGGGGCGAGGGCGCCGTCCACTGTGAGGGCCTACGCCACGAGGTGGAGGCTCTTTAGCGACTGGTGCGGTTTTCGTTCCTGGGATCCCAGGCGTTGCCCGCTGGAGGGGGTCCTGGGATTCCTACAGGAGCTCTTTGACAAGGGGAGGGCTGTCGCCACCTTGGCGGTGTTCGCGGCAGCCATTACTTCGGGTCACAACGGATTCGGGGGGTTCACAGCCCGCTCTCCATCCGTTGGTTAAACGTTTTCTGCGGGGGGCACGCAGGAGGAGGCCCCCGCTCCAGAGAACGCCCCGGTTTGGGACCTCAGGGTGGTCCTTAGGGGGCTGTCGGGTCCGCCTTTTGAACCGGCGGCGGAGGCGAGTCCCGAGTGTGTCGCTTTAAGACGGCCCTCTTGTTGGCGTTGGCGTTGGCGTCTGCTAAGAGGGCGGGCGACTTGTGTGCGCTCTCTGTCCATGCGTCTTGCCTGTCCTTGGAGAGGGCGACGGCATGGTGGTATTGTGGCCCAATCCGGCTTTTCTCCCCAAGGTCATCACGTCGGCCTTTAGGTCGAGAGTCATCAGGATTAGGGCTTTCTATCCGCCACCGCATGCCTCCCCCGAGGAGGAGCGGCGGCACCTTCTGTGTCCTGTCAGAATGCTGAGGCATTACCTGGCCATGACGTCGTCATTCAGGTTGGGTGGCCAGCTGTTGTGTGTCTGGGCCCCAAGAACAGGGGCGCCCCGCTGTCGGCTCAGCGGCTGGCGCACTGGGTTGCCACGGCTGTGCGGCGGGCGTATCAGACGCAGGGTCTGGCCCTCCCGGTGGGCTTCAGGTCGCATTCCACGCGTGGGATGGCGGCCTCTACGGCCCTTCTCAGGGGGGTGTCGGTCGAGGACGTATGCCGTGCGGCTTCTTGGGCTTCGTCCTCTTCTTTCGTCCGGTCTTATCTTTTGGATGTGTCGGACCGGTCGGTGGCCCATTCCGTGCTGAGTGCAGCGGACTGAGTTAGACCGTTAGGTCCCTCCTCTGAGGGGGCCTTCGGTTTACTTTCCGCCCTGGTTCAGGAGCTCTTGGGAGAGGCATCCTACAGGTGCGGTACATATAAGTGTGTTTTGGTCGGTCTGGTAGTCCACGTCAGGAGCCCTTGGGAGAGGCGTCCTGTGACTACGGATGACCTATATCTGTGTTACGTGGGGGTATCCTTGGTAGGAGTGGCCCTGTAACACGCATTGTTTCTTCTGCCCTGAGTCCTCTCACTTTGTGAGGGTCTTGCTCGGGCGGAGCTCCAATCATCCTTCGCTGGCCTGCTGGGAGTACATTTTCCTACGGCCTCCGCGTTGTGTCCCACTAGCGAAGTCCTAAGGGACGTAGCACCATGACGTAGAATTAATAGTTACTAATGTAACTTAAGTTCCTACGAATAGGTGCGTAGTCCCTTAGCTACAAGCCCATCATCAGAACACCAAGAGAGGCACCGGAGCGAAAGGGAGGTAGGCAAATCCCAGCGTGAGGTGGCGAGAAAGAGCGCAAACAGGGAAGAGAACAGGGGGCCCAGAGGGCAGGCACCGCGGGATCGATGTGAGAGCCAGGGAGACTCGAGAGAGATAAGCGGAAGGGCGGGAGGCCGAAGGCCGCAAAGGAGGGGGGAACGCCGCGCCGGAAGAGAGCAAGGACGAGGCGCGCCAGGACGAGAAAGCGAGTGGAAGGAGAGTGGGAAACGAGAGAAGGACTCGAACGGGGCAGGCTAGAACGGAACGACACGGCACGGGTGAAGCGAAGAACGGTAAACGCACAAGCGGGAGAAGCCGAAGAAGGACCGGGGAAAATGGGCGGAGGGGAGAGCGACGCGAACGAGGGGGGGGGGGGGGGGGGGGGGGGAAGTAGAAAAAGAGCGGACGGGACATCCAGCTAACCCACGGGAGGTCCAGGGAAAATGGCGGGCACCGACGGGGAAATGGGGATGGGGGGGGGGGTGGGGGGGGGGGGGGGGGGGGGGGGGGGGGGGGGGGGGTAGAGGCGACGGGGAAAGCGAAGCAGCGGGGAAGGAGACAACACCAACCGGTGGGGGGGGGGGGGGGGGGGGGGGGGGGGGGGGGGGGGCCACCGCCGCACGTGGGGGGGGAGGCACCAAAGGGGAACAAGGAGTAAACGCCGGCAACCGGCCATAGGGACAAACAGCAACGCTCAAGGAGGGGGCCTGAAGGCCGACCACAAGCACCGCACTCACAACGAGCCGGGGGGGGGGGGGGGAATACGCCAACCGCGACACACGACCCCCGGCAACGCCATGAGGCACCGGGAAAGAGGAGGGGGGAGGAAGAGGACCGAAAGGGGCGACGACACACGGGGGGGGGAAAGGGCGAGAGGGCCTAAGGCACGAATCCAGGGGCCGGAAGGGAGCGCGAACCCCCTCAACGGGCACGGGGCAGTCGGGGGGGGGCATCAAAAACGCAAAGGAGCCAAGCAAAGTACGGGGGGGCACCGGGGGAGAAGCCGCTAAGCCAGGCGGGACGGGCGAAAGGGCAGAGCACCGGAGGGAGACAAACGCAGCGCGGAATCCGCGACGAACAGCCGAAGCGGGCAGACGGGGGCGAGAGGGAGAAGAGCAGGCCGCGAAGGCGGGGGAACGGGCGGCTGGGGGGAAGGGCACTACTATGGTCCCGAACACGGGGGATGAGACCCGGGCCAAGGGGGGCCCCGAACTAGCCCCCCGCAAGGGGGAATTACCCCGGGGGTGGTACACAAGGAAACCCTCAGAGTCAACGGGGGGGCCCGAACCTGGCTCCAAAGCAAGGAAACGCTGAATACGGGGGTGGGGGGGGGAAACCCCCCCGAGGAAGGGGCCAGGAAAACCAAATGCGGGGCCGGGGGGGCAACCCCGGGGGGAAGGACCGACTAGGGAACGCGAAGGAAAAGGCAAGGAACCAGGGGCAACTAAACAAGGAAGCGGGGAGAACATAAAAACAACACAACGGCCCAATCCAACAAGCCAGCAGGGACGGGGGGGGGGGGGGGGGGGGGGGGGGGGGGGGGGGGGGGGGGGGGGGGGGGGGGGGGGGGGGGACCACAAGGGGGGGGGGTGGGGGGGGGGGCCCTCACGAATGGGGGGGGGGGGGGGGGGGGGGGGGGGGGGGGGGGGGGGGGGAGGATAATATATAATACCAAGAGGGGGGCCCAGCCAACGACCCCAAACATAATAGGGTGGGGGGCGGGTGGGGGGGGGGAGGAACAAAAGGACGGGGGGATGACACAACGGGAGGGCCAGGGGTATTGGATCATTGGTAGCGGATGGTACACTAACCTAGGTCATCGGGGAAGGGAAAACCGCAGCCAAGTAGGACCAGGTCCGCCGCCAGGCGCTCCGGCAAGCCAAAGGAACCCCGAATGGACAGTGAAATAAAGGAAATATGAAAGAAGCTTAGGTACCCCAGCTTTAAGGTACATTAAAGCTGGTAAATCCTTGTGTCCTGTTTCCACTGGTTAAAAACAACCTCCCTCTACAAAAATGATTCAAGTCTGCAGGTATACCATGTAATTTGGTTAATCTACGTATTCTGAGCGGTCACTAAGCAACGCTGCTCTCTATAGGCCAATATTTACCCATTTTGTTCTCTCTATACACCACCACCATAAAGATAATATGGACTTTTGACTTTGACAATCCCATTTTACTGGATCATTGTCAGAGTATGACAAAGCAAATATGTACATGCACTGGTGACTGGACTGACTGGTTCAAAAGAGCGAGAGAGACTTACATGAGGAAGGAAAAGCGGGACGGTGGCTTCCCCTGTCACCATCTGTGCCCTGGCGGAGACTGGGATCCTGCTGTTTGTGTCATGAATACTGTAGAGATGCCAGCCCTGCTCCAGAGATGATCATCGCTCACAAACATAATCTTGCGTACACACGTACCCGCAGACAGACGCGACAAACTTAATGTCTTCTACTACCCCTGTTAGCCCCATCTGCTCTTCTCTCACATCCTGTCACTTCGAGCGGGATACTGTAACCACTATACCCACAGTCTGGGTCAGGGCACACTTAGAGAAATTATTTATTTATTTAGAGTTTTTCTTATGCTCGCAAGTGGACGGCATAGTGGCACAGTGGTTAGCGACTATGCTTCTTGGGTTGGCCTCCTCCAGATCGTTAGCATGTTCAGCCCGTGTCTGGGTAAGGTTCCTCCGGGTGCTCCAGTTTCCCCTACCGCTAATAATACAATACAGTACAATAGTTCCCCTTTAAGACCCTCCTCGACCCTCTATCTGAGAGCAGACCAGACTTTCCTGGTTAAATAAAGGTGATTAAATAGATTTTGCATAGGTGCACGTGTGTGTGTGTGTGCGTGTGTCCATGTGTACGTGTGCGTGTGCGTGTGTGTTTGCAAAATCCTTGGATGCACTGCTATAATTACAGCTGGGGTATCTAACAGTGATATTGGTTGTCACAACAGAAAGAGTCTTGGAAGAGTAAAATATTCTGAACAAATCTTACCACCACGTGTGTTATCTTTGCAAAGTCGTAAGTCACTATTTGGCACTTTGGGCAGAGAGCTGATTGGATGAAGGAGAGTCATCCACGGAGGCCAAAAATACATGCATGTGAACTAGTTATAGAACCAGACAATTGTCAAGCCAGGAGGTAGTCACATGGATTGTCTTTTGAGCTGGGAATGTTACACCCCAGGGATCTGTTGTTTTACTATTCTTGTACTTTTCATTGCCACCCATAAGCATCTAGGTTGGAACAAAAAAAGGTCCATTAAACTTGTCTTACAATACTCTGATAACTCTGATGGATAATACAACACAGCTGCAGATAACATAAAAATGAGTCAGTGGCGCACGGCTGAGTTTTGGGTTTGATTTGTTCACATGGCTAAGTACCTTGTCCTTGTATGTGTGAATGAATCTGAAATCTTCACTTCATTTGTTCTAGCAGATGGAGGATATCAAAGTATGTGCCAGATTTCATTTAATGCTGATACATCCTGTAACTTCCATTTCATTGGACCAAAACATCTGCATAGATTTGAGATAGCATCCATCCCGGTGTCACTGTGGTGTTGCGGCAGTGTTTAATAGCAGCGTATTATCCATCCTTCAGTTGGATTTCTGTGTATTTTCACACTTGACTAACAATTCCTCTCCTCATTGTTGAGAGGGGAAAATTGGTTATTTGCAGAATAATGCGTGCCTTTTGTGCATTTTGACACATTAATTTACATCACCATTCAAAGCTCACTTTTAATATATGTGTATGATTTTACTATAGTGGTTTTGGCATTAATGTGCTCACAAATGACATTTCTTTCTATAATTTCTGACGTTTAACTTGTGGTAAGTGTCCATCATTTCACATTGTTCTCTTGTCCGGTCTCTAAAATCTTTTTTCTTGTTTACCTTTGTCTGTTGTTCTGTCTTTATTTACATTCCAGGGATCCCTCTATAGGCTGCAGTCGTGCATACGAATCCCATTTCATTCAGCACCATAGACAGCTCCCTAAGCAGTCAAATTGAGGTGTTGCACTGCCACCTATTGGTGAGCACGAGTAGTAAAAGCAGTTTATCACGAGGTGGAAATGAAATGATGGTTTTATTCCTAACATGGGGCAGATAACTTTGAGGGGGGAATACATTTGTGATTCATACTCAATGCATTCCCTATACTATGTGTGTGAAGTTAGATTCAACAAGCGCTAAAAGGAAAGAGTCCATAGAGGGAAAAATCTGCACAGAGATCTATGGGAAAGGTTAAGACGGCCAACCTTAAAGTAATGGCAACCATAAATTACATCCTGGTTTCATCTCAGCTTGTGTCGAAGCTCATAGATGCAATGTAACTGGGAGCAGCTTGAGCCAAAATGGGGATCTCAGGTCTGATTGTGTTCTGTGGCAGCCAAAGGGAGGAAACAATAGCATCTGCTCTCCACTAAGACAAGGAATTTAATCACAGCACAGAGGAGGCGAGATTTGAATGTAAAGTAGCGAGGGATAGCTGGGCGCAGCGTGCAAGGAAAATGTCGATCAAATGCAAGGGAAATATTTAGGTTGACATTTAGACTAACAGTAGCAAATGTCATTGCAGAGAGTACTTATGTCCACTTGCTCTATATGAGTTTGGTAGAAAAAGGAGCTGTCTTTATACAACAAGGGATTGACTGAAGTTTTCTGTTGGTTAGACATCCTAAAATATTTTATTATCCATAAAAAGCATTGTTTCATTTGGTGCATTAAGCTAAAGAATGGACCCTTTTCAAGTTTTGATAAAATATGTGCAGGCAGAGGTCTTTATATACAGTATTTTTATGTGGCGAACTGGTCATTTGCTCACTATTACATAGACAAGACAAATGCAACCATACCTCAGTGTGTTCCACAAAACCTGATCCATCATTTGCTGCACCTGTTGAAAGCAGTGACCACCGTGAATTTCACCAAATAATTCTCCTTTTGTTTGACTGGATGACTGGATAATCAGCTTTTTTTTCTGTAAATCAGCATTAACTTTTTGATCAGTAAAAGCCATGTCACAGATCAAAGTTGGTTAAAACTAGGAAGAAAAAAACAATGTTTCATTTGTTGACTGGGCCCATTGCACCACTTTTTTAGTCATCACTCACAGATAAACTAACAAACAGACACTGGTGATCACTTTACTTCCTAGGTGGGGGTAAAAATCACACGCTAATCTTTAAAACCATAATTTGTAATTTTTGGAAGGAGCATTTTTTTAAACTCATCTTTACTGGTTTGTTTAATGGCATATTGCTCCATTATGGAAGTTTATTCAAAAGAACAAAATGTCCTCCTCCAGGACAGGCAGATGCAAGTCCGCTTGCAGTTGCCAAAAAAATGACAAAAACAAGCCAATATCTGTATCTTTTTTTTGGTTGTTCTTTTTGGAATCTCCACCATCCATATATTTTTCCCACTTTATCCATTGCCAGGTCACAGGGACAGCACTCTGATCTGGGACAGTCAGATTGACTAGGTTAAGATTGGTTTTATTGTCCCCATACAGAAATGTGTCCTTTTAGACACTGCAGTGCAGTGCTCAGGGATCCATCTCCAGATGTTTATTGAATTATGTTTGTATTGTTGATAGTTCAACTCACTGCAATGTTCCACAGGGATCCACAACTGTGTGTAGGTCACAGGCTCTAAAAAGGATTATCCATCATAACAGACACTGCATGGTGTTTTGTGTGAGATAATTGAATTATTTACAACCAAACAGTCACATGGGTAATTCTGTTTGTATGTTTGTAGCTTAAGAGACAACAGTGTCTTTCCCACTTACAGTATATGTTATTCCTTCTTTCATATAGCAAATGCATCACTGTGCATGCTGCACCGATCCGCCTGTCAATCTCACACTCCATCCTTCCCTCCACCACCTGAGGAGGGTGGTAAAAAATGTACTATGTAATAACATATGTCACTAGTTTCATGTACCATGGCTTCGAATTTTGAGGTTTCATCTCACCTCCAAATCTGAGCCCATGGAATCTACGCCGGCTGTTTAAATAATAGGGTCACAACTTCTGTGAAATATTCCCTCATGACCACACCTCAGCGAGTGCACACAGCTGGAATCTCGTGGGCTGAGCCCCAGTGTCCCCTCCAACTGGGACAGCTGCTCTGCGCCTGTGTATTCATGTCGACACAAATGAGGAAGATGATGATGGAAACAGACAGCGCAGAGGAATGAGAGGTAGAAATCAAAGCAAAGTAGAACAATGCTGCCATGCGCCCACGCTGAAATGAGTTTCAAAAAGGAGATCTTAGATGCCAGTGACAAAATGTGGCAGACAAAATATAGAAACGAGAGGTGTCAATATGAGATTTGCTGTTTTAATTACAGTGCAATCAAAAAGCCAGGCGTGTGATTACAACACAATTACATTAACTTGAATTATTTACAGCATTTGACAAGCATAAAAAAGTGTGCTTAAACATGTCAGTAGGAAAGCGAGGGGAAAGTGTGCAGTTATATTAAATATGATGCAAAGTTTATCAACAGAGAAATGTGAGAGCGAACAAACAATTACCAAGAATATCATGTGCACTTCCGACAAAATTAAATTGTTTGTTCCTCTTATGGATTGCTTTGTGTAACTTTGAAGCACTGTATTTTTTTCCTCTAGACATTTCAATTAGAAACAACCACTAGAAAACTTTCAGAAGCCAAAGAGCCCATAGGTCAACATGCTCACGCTCAGTAATTACTTGGTCTTGTGATTTAAATTGTATACGAGCACAGCCTGTATGTCATTTAAAATATGCAATACAATAGCAAGAAAGCAACTTCACACAAACCTCACATACATTGAGATATTTTTTTTTTTTACCCATCCATGGACACACATAAGTAAGCTCTTACACCAAACAAAAGACATAATTAAGACTTGACACGAACAAAGTCAAGGGAAATTATCTCTCACAATTAGAAAAGGCATCACTTAGTTTGTGAAAATAGAATCGATTTCTCACTGTCAGGAGCGGTGCACAAAACCGCTTCTTTCAACTGAATCTGGCAATGGCTGTTAAAACTAATTAAGCTGGCGTTAGATAATAAGGGGAACGCAGAAAGAGTCTCCGGCTTCAACGGAATGTGATCCAATAATACTCCGCAAAGGTCTACGTGCCGCAGTATGTTGGATTACTTGTCCAGCTGCTGTTGCTGCCCCTATGCCATTCAACACACTGCAATTATTATGATTTTAATTATATGATTGAGATTTGAATTATTATTTACTGATATGTGGTAGAAATATAAAACCTTTAGGCGCCAA